TGTGGGAGACACGGTTGAGGGCGTTCTCGACCACCGAGGAGGGGAAGTTACGGTCCTTGAAAAACGAGGACAACTGAGATGTACGGGAGTGGAATGCCTCATCCTGGGAGCAGATGCGGCGGAGGCGAAGGAATTGGGAATTTGTTTCGTCAAGTGGAACAATCTTCACAAATGCAATTTGACAGACTTAGCTTCAGACTTCTTAAATAACAGAATACAGCCTTCATAAACTGTACATCAGAGCAGCCCCATTTCAACTGTGCAACCTAAAACCACAATCGAAAAGCTACCTGCAATGAGCCATCTGTCGTCCTGGTTTTTGAATCTCTTGATGAGTTGCGTTTACGGATGTCTGCCCTCAAGAATTCATCTAAAATGGTAAATAGATTAAAAAAAAAACAAATTTAGACCAGGGCTACAGTGTACAATTAAAGCATTCCAGCAGTTATAATCAGGCGATATAAAACTATACACACAAAATGAACCTTAATATTTACAATTCATGAAGGCATATTGCTATTTAACTAACGAAGCACAAACACTATTGTAACCTGTTCAGTTATAGACATGTCAATTATTCAGCTTTGCACACGGAACAAACGCTGCTATGAAAGTAGCATACATACATGCAAGCATACGCATTCAGAGTCAACTGTACAAACTCAGCTTGTTTTTAAGTCAGTTTCATGTGGCATTTAACATTCTTGACACCCAACTTTATTTGGGCACATCTTGTGAAATGAAACTAGCAAATTTTAGTTTAATGTTGAAATACATGCAGACAACAAAGTATACTCACTAATTACCTGAAGTTGCTGACGGATTTTTGTTGCTCCCACGGCCACGACCTCCACCACGGCCACGGCCAGCACTCCCTCTCCTGCGACTGTCACCCCGGCGTGAATATGGTTCCCTTTCTTCATCTGTTGGCGCCAGTGACCAATCACTCAGCTCATCTCTGTGCTCAGATTCAGTCTCGGAGGCATTGGATGCCTCAGAGTTATTACCTTAGCAGTTAGGAGGAGAGAAAAGAAAAAAGTGTCAGTTGTGGGATTGTAAACCCTTGTTTGGCAAAAGCTGCTCCAATCTTTATCAAAGCAAACACCTGTGCAACGGCCTTGGCTTTATATTTCTTAAATTATTTTCACTTGGGTCACAACTCAATTTTTCAATGCTGAAACTTTATACAAAATGATATAAAATCCAAGTTTATAATCAGATCTATTTTGTTGGCAGCTCGCTCTACTTTGATCAACTTTCTTCTTGATGTGGAGGTGCTGTGTAGGACTGGGGTGGACAAGGTCAGAAATCAGACGACACCAGGTTATAGTCCAACACTTCACCTAATGAAGGGGCAATGCTCTGAAAAGCTTGTGATTTCAAATAAACCTGTGGGACTATAACCTGGTGTTGTCTGACTTCTAAACTTGTCTACCCCATTCCAACACTGGCACCTCCACATCATGGCTATCATCAACACCACAAACTGCTGGGTCAAAGTGGAGAGGATTTCCAAGAAAACTGCACATATCGATACAGACATCAAGTTTCTGCAGAGATGCAAGAAAGCAGAGAAGATCCCAAAAGGATTACAGATCACGAATCTATTCAAGCTGACCTAAAACACAGACTATGCTGAGAGACTCTGTCATCGCACAGTTCTCAATCATTGCGTACACCAGCTCCACAGCAAATGCTGCAACCTTGAAATCAAGATAGAGTCCATGTTGTCAGCTTGCACTCAGGATACAGTGGACCAGCTGGGAGACACTGCCAAGCAGACGAGGCAACAGAACTACACCACCTACATGAGCACCAAGAACAGGAAACTGGAGAAACCGGCATCACTATCAGCAGTAACCAAGCCTTCCCTGGTACCACCGCAGGGAAATCATCGTCAATTTTTCTGACCATATCTTTCAACCAGATGAAATCAAAATTCTCAGCCAAGGGCTCAATTTCTGCCCCACTAACAAAATGGACCCCATTGGTCTTGCGGAAGACACAGGGGAATTCATCAGGTGAACGACATTCCAGGAATTTTTTCACAAACCCCAAGATGTCAGCAGTGAGCTCAATGAGGCAACCAATGAACTGGAACAGTTTACAGAGAGATCTGTGGTGCAGCGACCAAAGAAGAAAACACTTCACCTGATGAAGGGGCAACGCTCCAAAAGCTTGTGATTTCAAATAAACCTGTTGGACTATAACCTGGTGTCATGTGACTTTCAACTTCTTCTTAAGCTATCTACAATAGTGATAGCTACAAAATACAAAATACTCAAATGTCAAAGTTCCTTCAGTCAGACTATTTGCCTCCCATTTAACTGTCTCATTTCTTAGATTCTCCAGCCAGAGAGATGGTTTGTCCAGGCAGCAACCATAAGCCAACAATCCCACGTACTGCATAAACACAGCAGTTGCCATCGAATAATGAGGTGGGAAACTCGGCTCTAAACAAGGATAAATCTTTCTGAATGGACAAGTGAAGTTGGGTCAAATGACCTTACTCAACAAGGGCAAATGAAATGGATCACTACTGAACGAAAACAAAGTTGCTGGAAAAGCTCAGCAGGTCTGGCAGCATCTGTGAAGGAGAAAACAGTTAACGTTTCGGGTCCAGTGACCCTTCCTCATTATTGAGGCTGTAATACAAAATGTAGAGAATCCAAACTTGTTGCTGTTTTTTAAAATTTTTTCATTAGACAATTTATAGAAATAAGCTAACAAAAAATTACTGCACATGGAATTTATTCGAATTTGAGGAAGTAAAACTGCTTTTAAAACTTTAGACCAGTCATTCTCGAGCAACTTTGTTATTTGAAAGAATGAATTTTTGAATTATGAATTAAGAATATTAAACCTGATGCATAGCCTGGGCCTCGTCTGCCACGCCCTCGACTACTGTAAGGTCTGCCCCCACGCAAGTAACTTGTACTTTCATCGGTCGAGTAGCCCCTTTCTTTGTCGGGACGGTTTGCAGGGGTCCTCAATCCCGCACCCATCTGCCGAAGTTGCTCATCAATTTGTAAGCGTTCCATGCGTAGCTGGTCAACCTCCTGTACAGAAATCACAAGTACCTTTAGAATGGGCAAATTGAACTGTGACTAGAAATTAGGATTTCTAGAACCTACATATCAGGATTTTGACAAATGCTTGCAAGAATATTTATATTTGAAATTTACTGCAGTTGACAATTCTGAAATTGTAGAATGGGGGGAGGCATGGCAAAGAGAAATATATCCATTAACTTCACCGAATCACAGAACTGTCACAGAAGGAGGCTGTTCAGCCCATCATGCCTTGCACTGGCTCTACAAACAAGCAAACACTGACAGATTTCAGCACTCTCTTATCTGCAGATAGATCTATTGCACCCAGCTATTACAAATCAGATTTAGAAAAGATCTGGAAAATGAAAAGCAATTCTGCACCTTAAAAAATCCTTAGGTTAACATTACACAGAACCACTTCAGTTGAAGCACATGCGCCAGCATGGGCATTAGCCGCTGACCTGCACTCATTCTTATTTGCTCATGTGATACAACATTTATTGCCCATCCCTAATTATTCAGTGGACAGATAAAAGCCAACCACATTGCTGAGAGTCTGGAGTCACACATAGGCCAAATTTCCCTCCTTAAAAGGACATTAGTGAACCAGATGGGTTTTTAAAATAAGCAACAGTGGTTATGCTGCCACTATTAGCTCTGCTTTTAATTCCAGATTTTTATTGAATTCACATTTCACCATCATTGAATCCATGTTCCCAGGCTAATATCCTGGATTACTTGGCAACTAACACTACCACTATGGCATTCCACATCTCCTTATAATTACAAATAACATAGTGTGTGTTAGCAATAACCTAGGAAATGGGCACTTTGATTATGAAGCTTTTGATTATGAACAATAATTTAGCTTTTCTCATTGTTAATCCAAATAGATTAGTATTTTCATGCCAGATTGTGTGGCTATGAATTAATTAAACAGCATTAGAGGCTGAAAAACTCAGATAATTGAGGGGTATGGAACCTTTATTTCTTAAGGAAAGGACAGGAGATAATCATATGAACATGTTGGAGGACATAGGAACAAGAGTAAGTCACTTGGATCCTCAAGCCTGCTCTCCCATATAGCAAGATCATGGCTGATCTGATTACTCCATATTTTCATCTACCCAACAATCTTTCACTTTCTTATAAAACATCTATCTACCTTTGCATTAGAAATATTCAAAGACTTCACTTTCCCATAGGCTCAAGACCCTCTGAGAAAAAAAAATAATTCTCCTTAGCTATCTCAATGAACCAGTCGTTATTTCCAAATAGTGACCCCTCATTCCAAGTTCTTCCACAAGAGGAAACATCTTCTCCTTATCTACCCTGTCAAGACAATATAGGATCTTACATGATTCAAACAAGTTACATCTTCCTCTTCTGAACTCCAACAGAGACAAGTATAGCCTGTCCAGCCTTTCCTCAAAAAACAGACACCTGTGTATTTCAGGAATTAGTCTAATTAACCAGTTCTGAACTGCTTCCAACACATTTACATCCTTCTTCAAACAAGGAAACTGTAGACAGTATTCCAGATTTTGTCTCGGCAATGACCTGGACAACTGATGCATGATCTTCCCATTTTTGCATCAATTCTCCTTTCAATAAATGACAACATAGTTAGTCATTTTAATGTGGGAAAACTGTTAAAACAACAATGGGGTGCAGGTTCATAGTTCCTTGAAAGTGGAGTTACAAGTAGACAGGGTAGTGAAGATGGATGAAAACAACAAGTGCTGGAGGTCATAGCGGGTCAGGTAGCATCCATGGAAAGAAAGCAAGCTAACATTTTGAGTCTAGATGACTCTCCATCAGAGCTGAAATGAGGAGGCGTTTGGTACTCTTGCCCTTATTGGTCAGTGCATTGAATCTAGGAGTTGGGATGTCATGTTGCGGTAATGTAGCTATTGAATAGATGCTAAAGAAATGTAATTAATTAGCATTAATTTAGATAGCAGAAACTATCCCAAAATAATCCACCATTTTTTGAAGGAATAAAGTGGGCTAATAAAATGCAACTGTTTTTCATTTGGATTTCAGAAATTTTTAATCAGGCCCTCCACTGATTAAGCAAACGAATAAGAGAACAAAAGGTAATAGTATAATCACTGGACAAAGGCAAACCTTAAGCTTAAAAGGAGCAAACAGGCGACAGCCATCAATCAGAACTTCTCAAGCTTGAAAGCTGAGCCTGGACAGGGGGTAACTGCTATTGGGTCATTGTAAACAAAACTTGCACTGTTGTCGAACAGAAAGACTGAGCGGTTCAGGTACATAGTTCTTTGAAAGGTGCTTCAAATGGGAGACAAAGTGGTTAAGGCAGCATTAAGCACGCTTGTCGTCATTGCTTCAGACCGTTGGGTGTAGGAGATGGGACATCATGTTGAGGTTGTACAGGACATCGGTGAGACTACTTTTGAGGTACTATGTACAGTTCTGGTTACCCTCATGTTGGAAGGGTATTATTAAATTGGAGAGGGTTCAGAAAAGATTTACCAGGATGTTGCTGGGAATGGAAGGTTTGAGTTATAAAGATAGGTTGGGACTTTTCTCACTGGAGCATAGGAGGTTGTGGGGTGATCTTATAGAGGTTTATAAAATCATGAGGGGCACAGATAAGGTGAATAGCAAAGGTCTTTTCCCTAGTGTCGGCAAGTTCAAAGTTGGGGGGCATATTTTTAAAATGAGAGAAGAAATATTTAAAAGGGACCTGAGGGGCAATTTTTTTTCACACAGAGGGTGACCATATGTAGAATCAACTGCCAGACGAAGTAGTAGATGCAGGTACAGCTACAAAATTTAAAAGACATTTGGATAGGAATATGAATAGGAAAGGTTTAGAGGGATATGGGCCAAACGCAGGGAAGTGGGACTAGTTTAGTTTGGAAAAGTGGGTTGGCATGGATAAGTTGGACCAAGGGGTCTGTTTCAGTGCTGGATGACTCTATGACTCTAAACCGGAAGGTGAGCAAATAAAGAGGAACATTGTAGCTGGTTCAGACGGAACTTGGACATTCCATTTGTGGATAAGTGGGTCAAGGATTGAGAAGAAGGGATATGTAATAAACATAACAATTGTACAATATTGTGACAAACAAGGAAATCCGAAGATAGTGGGGGATAAAAGCTATTAATCTGCCATACCAGAATTCATCTATATTTTCAAAATAAAATCAAAACAAATTACTAAGGTGAAGGATGAAGCAGATCAAAAACAGTAGTATTATTGCTGTGCAAAACATGTGACCACTCTGGTAAACTAATAAAAGAAAAATATTACTTTTTTTATACACAGATACTACTATCCTTGAGACACAATTCCAAATGTCAAACTAATCAAAGTTTGATGAAGATTTTAGCTGGTTAGCTGAGCTACTTCAAGTAACAAACCATTAATATGCTATTCAGCTGCTCATTCTTTTTCTGTCCTTCAATTAGATCATTGTCGATCTGTACTTCAACACCATTTACTGGCTATTGCGCCATATACCTTGTTACCTTTACCCAATAAAGAATGAGCAGAATGCAAAAAATATTTCTGACTCTTCAGCATCAGTATATTTTACTTGAAACAGCACTGAACCCAAAAATCTTCTAAGCAGGTAGCAAGAGGCAGAATGGATCCTATTATGGACAATAAGTGTGAGGTATGCTTAGAGGGGCAGGAAAAGTCAAGGGTATTTAGTTTTATTTTGCATTGGTTTTTACTAATGAGAAGGATGCTGACAAAACATTGGTAGAAGTGTAGATGGTAGAGGTTAATAATAGACAGGATTTACTGCACAGACTGAAATTGGTAAGTATCACAAATTACTGGCGTAGTGAGCTGGAAATCAAGTCCTGCTGTTCCCAGAGTTGTCACAAAAATTAAAGATTTTAAATAAGTTTACAATATTCCCCAAATTACCCAATCTTCACACCCAAATTGATCGAGACTTTGGACCAGGCTTCTGTACTTAGCAAGAATGAGTATTTATTACAAGTAATTGGGCTCCAGTTATAAATAAAAAAATTACAAAACCATCAGTGTTTAACACTATAAATTTAAACTCTAATCTAATTAGAAATTCCACCTTGCACACAAAGACAAAGAGGCAGGGAAAAATAGATTATGGGTAAGTAATTTATGGGCAAAGTACAACTGGAAAACAGCGATTCCTCTTTACGGAGATGTGTACTTCTTGGCACTGCTCTAACAAGTGTACACCGAGGTGGATGTTATGCCTCTCAGTCCATGAAGGTGGCAGTCAGTACTCCGAATAAGAGGGACAGAAATTAAATTTGCTCAAAAAGGTCCAGGAAAATTCAATCTAGATGTGGCCAATGGGAGAAAAGTCACCTTTGTACGGAGAATTTGGTTCCTGTGAACTTGGGATTCAACTCCTCTAGCAGCAAGATCTTTTACGAGCAATGCTACAGGAATAGTTTCAGATGTTTCTGATCTAGACATATATGAAATGATGGTGCTATGAGTATGTGCAATCAAATTACACCAATCTGATGGCAGTTAATTTAGCGCTCGTCAGTTGTACCATGGAATTCCAACAATCCTCATACTTGTCCTTCAGAATATAGACTGCTAGGATGTTTGCAGTAGCTCCTGTGTCATTCTTGATTTTGGGTGTGTTTGTTAGGTTTCTTTGGCCAAATGATGTTTGGCTTCTAACTGGCTCACTTCATCCACATGATGTGTAGTTTTGACAATACAGAAAGTCTTCTCAGCCTCCCACTGTTCCACTCTGGAACTTGAGTTGATCTTGCTGTGAACGTCCTTTATTGGCTTGCGTTTATGTAGATCTTGGTGCATTCCAGTCTATTGTTGCCATTCTGCCACACCGGTCTTCAGTTTGGTTGTGCCTTGTAGTAGCTTTGACTAGACCTTTGCAGCCAAATTTCTTGCATGGTGGGCCCATTGCTGTTTTTGTACCATAACCTTGAAATGATCGCGGAACATGAGACACCTTTGTGGTGAGTTAATAAACCTCAATTACCACATGACTTGCTGATTTTTGCACCTTATTGTAGTGTCTATACTGCTTACAGCATCTTAAGCTTGCAGATATTGTTTTCCAGCTACAAGGTTTTCATATCTTCTGTGATCTTCTAGTTTTGAGTACTGTGACCTTTCTTTATTCCAAGAGGTATTTTTGAAATTCTTCGATAGGTGTTGGGGCAATCCTAAATTCCATTATCTGCTCTGACCATTATCCTCAGAAAAGTAGCATTTGTTAAGAACGTAAGAATTAGGAGCAAGAGTAGTAATTCAGCCCCTCAATGCTGCTCTGCCATTCAACATGATCGTGGCTGATCTCATCTGGACTTCAACTCCACTTTCCTGCCTGCTTTCCATAACCCTTCAACCCGCTACTAATTAAAAATCTCTCTCTTCCTCAAACTTAATGTGTCAGCATCCATTGCACTTCAGGGTAATGAATTCCACAGTTGTCCTTCTTCTCGTATACGACAACCTAATCTAATGATTCCTGTGGCTGTCTTGTAGGACATCAATTCACAGTACTGAATTCTAAAGTTCTTTCTTGCATGCAGCTGATCTTCTAGAACTTTGCATACTTTTGTGGGATGTTATTTGGCCTATAAGTGCAATGTATTGACTCAGTGTAAGCACTTGTTAGCAATTGCCAGTACCTTCACAGTTTGTTTAACCAGTTCTACAATTGCCTAGTTTATGAAACACAGCTGCATCTTTTTTTCCCCAAAAGGTCTGAACTCAAGACAGTAGATCCAGGGCCTTTCAGTTCATGATGGGCAATTTGGTATCCATCCTACTTTTTTTTGTCTTTTCACTTTATATTTAACTTTGTACACTTCTTCTGTGCTTTGAACATTGCAGCTAGAGTTTCTTTCTATTTATCGGCCTGAATCTTGCTCTCGAGGTTGTTCTTTTGCATCTTCATTGTTTCTGAATGCAACCCTTTTCTCGTTGTTCAAATTTATGCAAGTATTTTCTTAGTTCAAGGTATTCAGAAATAACCTTAAGAGAAGGCAGGTTCGAATCATCTGGCTGCATGCATAAACCTGACCAACTTGCAGACACTGTCAATTTGAAAAGAAATTTCTTTGCACGGTGGCAACTTCTGGATTGCTGGGTTGCTTTTTCATTCATGGGATGTTGACATCACTGGCAGGGCAAGCATTTAATGCACATCCTTAGTTGTAACAAACTGGTAACAAGTTGCCTTCTTGAACTGCTGCAGTGCATTTCCTGTATGTAGACCCATGTGCTGTTAGGGAGAATTCTAGGATTTTGACCCAACAACGTTGAAGGAGTGGCGATACATTATCAAGTCTGGATGGCGAGCAGCTTGGAGGAGAATTTGCATACAGTGATGCTGCTTGCTCCTGTAAAGCTGGTCGCATTTTTTTTAGAAAAAAATCCCAGCTGTGCACCATGTAATATTCTTGTTTTCTAAATGTAACACAGAAGAAGTAAGTGGATTCTGTTTAAATAAAGATCTCTAGTGGGTTTAAACTAATTTATACAGTACACATTAACTGCCATAGCCTGCGTCTCGGGTACTTCAGTACATAGTGCCTGTGGCAAGGTGACAATATCCAAGTACTTGGCTCATTAACATTTTGATCTCAAAGAAATATCATTCCAAATGTAAGAACACAAGTGAGATGGAAGTTTTAATATGGCAGTCTATTTTGTGACACAAGTGGTGAGGACCTAAGTTCAGCAGCCTCATTGAGGGCATCTGACACTGGAATATGTTGCTGTTTCTTTTTAATCTATCAGAGAATGAGCAGGTGCTACACTGTTTTAATGTGTTAAGGCAGTAATTGGCTGAGCTCACCCAAACTAGGCAGCTAGTATCTGTGGTCAACAGATGGATTTCATTTTAAATTTAAGCCTTGAACGTGAGTAAGATAGCATAAATCACCTGCTCGCAGCATAATAAATGCTTTCAGCAACCCTTGATTAGGGAGGAAAGATGAGAAAATAATTAAAAACTGGTTAGTGTTCCCTGTGGTGATTATTACACTGTTTTGTATACATGTATATATGGGGATATTAGAGAAATTACAGGATCAGACTTGGATGTGATGTCCCTGTGGAAACAAACAGCCTGCTGATGCTCACACAGGAAGAGAGGTACAGGAAAGGAAGACAGAAAAGTACCAGAAAGAAACAAACAATGATTTCTTGATCTATGGTTGTTTACTGGAGTCTGCTGCAGAGGATAGGAAGTTGCGGTCCACATTATAAACATGTATATGTAGGTCTTCCTTTGCTCAACAGAAAAATCTGCGCAACACAAAAACTTGTTTCAACGCAAACCTCTCCATCACAGCTGGAGAAATACAGAACAACAAAATGGAGTCTCAGCCACTGTTTCCATGTGGTTTTCAGAGGCCATCAGCAGTGAAGATTTAGGTTTTTAATGTTGTATATCTGGGCAGTGGGAAGTTTCTTTTTGGATCCTACAAGTTTCAGTCTGTAATTAGGGAAACAACGAGCACCTGCTCTTGATCAAAAAACAAATAAAACCATAAGTTTTATTTAGTGTTTTACTTGACGAAATGCAAGTTTGACTAATTTAAACGAACTGGTTAATGAAATAAGTGTTGCGAAGTTGGGTAGAGTACTTGTGGATTGGGAGAGCCGAAATTAGAATTTGGTGTTTGTAAAATGCTAGGGGAGAAAAGCATTGCATGGTCCCTTTAAAAGATCATGTGCTTTTGCTGTGCTTAGAGATTTAAAATGATTGTCTGTGAGCAGCAGCTTGAAAGCTTGCAAGTACACAGAGAATACCTGAATTGAGACATTTGTATCAAAAGGCTGTACAGTTAGCAGGCCACATAGCAGTTTTTACCGAGATAACAGGCTTTTGAATTTAGCCAATCAATTTGAACCAGGTACTTAGATACCAAAAACCTATTAAATTTAAATCTGACGGTTTTGACAACATTGGACTAATCCCATTGTAAGAAATATTGATATGTCATCAAAGATATAAAGAGAAGGGGACAGTTGGACAAAGACCCCAGAGCTAGCTGCGATCTGCCAAATCTAATGGCCCGCAGTTCTCAAGAGAGAATTGCTGGCTCTCATAGCCTTCTCTAGGTCTTAGAGAAAGCACCATCTAAATAACATTGGTACCAATGGCATAACTAGTTAATATTCTTGACAGAAGAATCAACAGAAAAAGCCTCATCAGAACATACTATTAGCTGATAGGCATGGTCTAGCACACAAGATTGTCACAGAGAACGACAGGATGGACAGGGGTGATTAAATAACAAAAATTATAGTGTAAAGTTAAAAGTGAAAGGGAACACTGGTAAAATAAGACACAAAAGGTGTGTCTGGAGAAGATATAAATAGTTCTGCAAAAAAGCAGAGGGCAAAATCATGGAAATGTCAGGTGAAGAGAGTCAGGTGCTTGGGGACATGGAGGAGGTATGAGAGTAAACCATGGTGGTGTGGACTACCCAACCGGCAGTGTACCAACAGGAAATTTCCAAACTGAAGTACAAGACTACTTTCTTCCACTTCCAGTGTCTGCTGTGTGGCTTTCCTCCACCGACAGCATCTATGCTCTCATGGAAAACAGAAGCGGTGCTTAAGTTCTGAAGCATGATAACTCTGTGCTGAGTCTGGAAGGTTGTACAAGTGGCTAGCAGACAGCCAAGATATTGTTACCTTAGCTTGAAACAGTGTAGGAGCCAAGAACAGAGAGGTTAGTATGGGATTTAGAAACATATAGCAGTCTTTGTACACAGTTCATAGAAATCTGATGGCACAGAAGTCATTTGACCCGTTGTGTTTGCACTGCTCTTCAGGTGAGCATCATTACCTAATGCTAGTTTCTTTCTATACCCTTGCTTATATTCAACTAATCACCCATATCCTCTTGAAGCCTTAATTAAACCTGCCTCAATCACATTTCCAGGCATTGCATTCCATACCCTAACTACTTGCAGAATGAAAAAAAAAAACTTTTTCTCATATCGCCCTTGCCTTTTTTGGCAACTCATTTTAAATCTAGACCCTTTCATTCTTGTTCCTTTCACAAGTGGGAACGTTTTCTCCCCATCTACTCTATCCAGCCTGTTCATAATTTTAAAAACCTCTATCAGATCACCTCTTAGCCTTCTTCTCTCCATGAAGAACAGCGTCAACTTCTTCCATCTATCCTCATGACAGTCAAACATTTAACATTTTCTTCCAGTCAATTTCAATGAATCCTGGCTGACTTTACTCAATTTTGACAATATAGGTAGTGATACCAGCAAATATCCGCTCCATTACAAAACAAAACAAAATTGAAAAGTTAAGAATTGAAAGTGCAGTCCTGCTAAGGGAAATTTCAGTTCTTACCTTTAAATAGTTCAGATGGTAGTCCAATAGAACACGTGCATTGCTTATGCTCTCCTTTGTTCCAACAAACACAAATGGAACCATGCCCTGTAAGTGATTTCTGGATTAAGTATTTCATTTACACCTCAGTCTCAAACAAAATCTTGCAGATTAATATATGATTTTTGGGAAAAAGCCATAATAAAAATAAATTAAGTATTAAATACTCATGACCAAATAGCAAGATATTAAGACAATTTTAATCTGATTTTGAAACAGATAGTTCATGCTTTGTTAGCACACTTGCAAGTCTTGATTCATTTAAGAAGCTTTGCTAATCCATGATAAACATACACACGCACATGTAACATTCACAGCCAGAGGTTATGGGTGGTGATAAATTGATTTCTTGTCTGAATAATGTGGGATTCTTGAATGTTTAGCTGTCTTTTAAAGATAATATTGAGAGATTCTATTCATTTCCCCCACAAGGAGAAGGTAGAAGCCTTAGTTATTTTTGTGCAGTAGCTCTTGAACATTTCATTCTATTTCTAGCAAATCAAAATAGATGGGATAGATAGATGTTTCTGAGGATTTTGTTTTTATAAACCAGCTTGATTTATGGAGATGATACCTTTCATTAATCCGGAAATGCTTTCAGCTTTTTCAGTCAATAAAAGGCAAACTAAACTCATCACGAGGAGCCTTTAAAGTGGATAAAGCTATGCCTACGAAGTCATGAATTATAAATCTTCATCCAGCACAGGTGGTCAATCAAAGGAGTAGAAAAGATTTTGTTTAACATTTTTATAACATTTGTGATTTCACTAACAGCACTAATCGGAAATGTTTGTGAACTCTAATTCACTCCTTTTTTCTCCCCCATTTATCCCTTGAAATGACTCATGAAAGGGGTTTGTACCATGGGCCCTTTTGCCTACAAACAGCACAACTAGTCTGTGTGTGTAAAGACTTAGATTTCTAATTATATTATCATCCCACAGAAACTGCCAAGATACAATGATCTATTTTCAAATACTTTCATTCACTAGTTATGTAAGCAAACTCTCTTTACACAGAGAGTGGTGGGCATGTGGAATGCGCTGCTGGCAGTGGTAGTGGGGTCAGATACTTTAGAGACTTTTAAGCGGTTCTTGGATAGGCACGTGGAGGATAGTAAAATGTAGGATACGCAGGGCAAATTGATCTTCGTAGGATAAAAGGTCGGCACAACATCGTGGGCCGAAGAGCCTGTACTGTTCTATGTTCAAGCGTGGCAGTCAACTTACACCCAAAGTACCCCAAGATGACTGATCTTCCATGAAGAATGTCACAAGGCATTTTATATCCACCTGAACAAGTGGAACGTGCTACTGTTGACTAAATTAACTGAACATTGGTACTTCTGGCAATGCGGTACTTTGGCACAGATAGGAGGTGTCTGTTAAGATATTTATAATGAAGTCCTTCAATTGGATTTCCAACTCAGAGGCAAAGATGAATGATTGGTCCAGGTTTTGCACCTTGATTTCGAATTATATTGGTCATAAGGAAGGGCTTAAGAAAAGTTCTGACAGCTCAGTTAATAACTCACCCTCTGTCTGGGGTTTCATGCAACCCAATTTCGAAGTATTGTGGCATTCATTTGATTCAGAAGTCACATGGCCCTTAACACCATTCTAAAGAATGGCAATGCATTCCCTTACAGTCTTAGAGATTAGTCTGATAAATGCTTCAGATGCTTCATTTAGTTAGCGAAGTGATATTTGTGAAACTTCATGGTTTCTTAGAGTTACAGTGCTTCAATGGATTATATCACGAAAGGCAACTGCATAGCTAAATTTTGTCAATTTCTTATAAATGTTGCAACATTCTGTTTAGAAATTTGAGTTTTAGAATTGGATGCTCAGAATTGGTCTCCTGAGAAAATGCAACATTAACATTGAAACACTTTTAGACAATAATTAATATTTGAATTGTTTTGTATTCCATTTTAAACTTTCAGGAGATTTATAATCAGCAGTTTTTAATTCCCATATTCCTTGCATATTGATGTGCCTGCGGGATGCAAAGTTGTAAACTGTAACTTTATTAATATGAAATACGAGATAAAACAACTGCCAGTGAGATAGATACACAATAGATGTTCTGTAATTAAGGTTATTTAGAGTGAACCGTCTATAAGGTTTTGGAGTAGATTTGAACCATCTATATTTTAAAGTGACTGGAAAAGCTCAGCAGGTCTGGCAGCCTACGTGAAGGAGAAAACAGTTAACGTTTCGGGTCCGGTGACCCTTCCTCAGAACCCAGATGCTGCCAGACCTGCTGAGCTTTTCAAGCAACTTTGTTTTTGTTCCTGATTTACAGCATCCACAGGTCTTTCGGTTTATATTTTTAAGTGTGTCACTGCTCATGGAACTTCTTTGCAGATTGCAAATAATTGACTTCATATTGAAATAAAACAAAGATTGATAAAAGAACTGACTATTTTTATAAATTTGCATATCTCAAAATTCTGGCCTTCATAGTCTTATTGAAGTCTTTAGTGGCACATACACAAGCTGTTAGTTTTTTTTCCCACGTCCTTGTTTTTAATGGCAACCCATTTAAGGTTATTATATTTAGAGGATCTGACTAGTATTCTATTAACCCAACAAAATTTACCATTTGAAATACAGCTTCAAATTATTTCTGAAGTGACGGCTCACACTGAAATAATTTTTTTGCAATATTTTGACCTCATTTATCGAGTAAATTCCTCTTTATGTTTATTTAAAGGTATTAAATTTTGAAAACAGGGCCTTGGACTTAATATTTTTGCCTTGAGTTGTGATAATATGATTAATTTAGACTGTACATTCCAAGCAAGTGCAGCACATCTGATTTCGCAAAATATATCAGTACCACTGAATAAGCTGTACTGATACAATGATTTCTGCTTAGATGCTTTTCAAAATTATCTGATGGCAAACTAGAGAAGAAATTTCAAAACCTTGAGCCGTAATTTATAGAGTAAGTTTGTAAACATACCTGTCTGAAGCTGAGAAAAACAATTAATTAGACATTTGCTGCTGCTTGTGCTCTGTAAATATCATATTGACCAGTAAGAGGAATAATAAGACTTCCTCATGTTGATTCCAGATAGTTTAAAAAAAAAGCACTTTGATGCCACTGTTTATCTCACCTATGCTTCCCCGAGTTAGAAAAAAAACTGCTGGTAACAACGCCAATATGGAGATCCTAATCTCTAACAACCATAAAACAATTAGAGAGAAAGGAAGAAATAAATTAAGTTTATTGCTAATTTTAATTTAATTAATTTTAAAAAATACAAGTTTCCAAAAGGATAAATTCTAAAGCCTGAGCATGGATTTTGTGGCCAGGAAAGTGTTGGCAGGGGCTTCACTGCTGAATAACTTGATGACTGAATAATTGATGACTTGATAGAAAATGGGTTATTTCAGCTATTTAGGCTTGTTTCACTCCATGGAAACCTGATACTTTGAAAGGTTAAGAAGCTGAGGTATGACATTTGGAGAGGAGATTCTACCGTCTCCATACTTTTAGGCACAATACCTTTCCATGTGTCATATAATGAACAAATGCCAACACAGACTTCTTAAATTCATACTGGCATTCTCATGGTACTGCTCTCAGCAAGACAGAGATTCAGCTGCCTTGTCAGGAAAGGAATCTTACGCTATGTAGAAGATAATACTTCAGTATTCTGCCTAAAGTGGAGATGTAACCGTGTCTAAGGATGTAACATCCAATTGCTGTTAAGTGAAAGCTTGGTGAGTTCATATAAATCAGTTAAGGGTTTTCAGGCTCTTCCATTCTAATATTTGGTGTTCATATGGAGTACTCAGTTTTTCCTTGTTTTAAAGCTGAGCCTGAAATTTCATATAGCAAAGGTGTACCTCAGAGATTTAAAGATGGACTGGACACGTTTTCTTTCAGGAAAAAAAAACACAAAAGTATTCCTTTGTCATTGCATGAAGTAATTAGTTACATTGGTTTAGAATGATAGGAATGTTATGTCATGTCTCACAACTGTGAAGGTCAAACTATGACACTGTTTTCTGCAATTCTTTATTTGATGCTGGAGAACAAATTCTAACTTTTTCTGTGAAATAGTTACAAGCAATTTGCTTGCAATGTACAATCACCTATTATTTAATCACAGCTAAAAGAAAGACAACACCAAAACACATTGTGTTCCACTCGTCAGGACTGAACCGCAAGAAAATTAACTTGCCTGTCTGAGGCAAGTTAAACTAACTTGCAAAGCTGACTTGCCACTTTTTAATTTAATCATGAACAGTTCCTGCCATACTTCCATGCTAACCAGAGTCTAATCAATCCGTATCCACTTCTCATGTCATATAAATTGTTCTTTCCTGTTAAAAGCTGTTTACTTTTGGTATTTTGGTCCTGTTTAGAGTAAGAAAAATGCTTTGATTTCATGTCTCTAATGAGCAATGCTTAAGTCAATGTGATAATACAACTGTGCGTATTTAATAATCATTTTGTTTCCAAAAGAGATACTCAAAAAATGCTAGGTAACAAGTAGAAGATTGGGAACAGATACACTGAGGTTAGAAATACCTCTGCCAAGTTTAGTAGCACACAAATGATGCTGGATTCGAATCACATTTGGGGTATGGTGGTGCATTTCACAGTATTAACATGGTGAAACCACGGAGTTGGTGAGAACCATCAAGTGGAATGTGGGTGTAATTTATGGAAAATATGAGGCTGAACTTTCTAGATGAATTCAGGGGCTTATCACAAGTGTTGGTCAGGGTTGGGGTGGGGGGGGGTGCAGGTGTGGGGAAAGATATTGGGATGCAGTTGTTAAATGTGAAAGACCAGTATATGCCAAGCTCTTCAAGTGTGTGTCAGATCCTGAGGTGGACGAGTGGGAAGGGAGGTGGGGTCTGGTAACTGGAGGACAAGGATGGTCGAGTTTATCAACAGACATTTGCAAGACTCGGTGCACTTAGATCAATAACAAGCAGTATATCGTGTATCAAACAATCACAACAAAAGCACAACACACCTCTTCGCGTGGAATCTTTTTGTCACCATCTCCTTCGATTCTCACACGGACAACTCCTGATTTGTCTACAATTTCTTGTATGAGCTTTCCGTTTTTGCCTATTACTTTTCCTGGAGAAGGAATGGATCAGTTCCATTTTATAAATCCAAAAATAAATAATATTTACTCAAGGACATTTCTTAAATTAGGCTTACCTACTAGATTCCTCGGTACTTGTACAGAGTCTTCTGTAAACTCGAGATAATTTCTGGCTTGCTTGACTGCCTCCTGGTCCTATAAATCAGATTGATATTAAAGGAAGAATGTCGCCTAGAGAAAACATTAATTTCAACTAAATTAATGATATTAATGTTACCATTTCTGTATAAAGTTATACTGCTATGCAATTTGAAGGGTGTGATCTGATCAGTTTGTTTGCTCCTTATTAAAAGCATTGGTTCCTTTCTGTGTACAGTGCTAGGGATTCACCTTCCAATAACTTGCTGAAGGAGAGACATGTAGGCACACATGGAAATTATAAAATCTCACTAAAAACAGAAAATTAGAAACACTCATGCAGATACAGAAAGATGAGTTACGTTTCTTGAAAAGGCTTCCTCACTTTTCAAATGAAACCATCCTCCACACAATAAAGGGCTAAGTCCCAATGGAAAGATCAGCATGAATAAAAGTACTTTTAAGGTGATTTTGGTGTCAAGGATGTCATCATGCCATGTGTTGTAATCCCTGGCAACACAGCGAAATTATGCTGAAATGTGGTTAAGGACCAGCACCGTTTTTATTTAAAGACGACAAAGTTTAAAAACTCAGGTACTTCCTAAGAGAAAAGTGACAAGATTCCAGAGTTTTAAACCAAGCAAAATAAATGTTTACTTTTCTGATTTTGCATATTAACAAACTACACAAACTGTAACATCCAGAATTCACGAGGTAATTCTAAATTAACAGGCAAATCGTGTTTGTACACACCACACCATATGCTAAATGGCAAACGTGACCAAGACAGATCTCACGGATTTGACAGCAACTCATCCAGACGTCAATAATCACACTGAGTCACAAAATCCTGTGAAACATAGTCTTCTTCTTAAGGGATTTCAACACTGAGATCCAGCCTCTGAATTTTCCTCAAAAGCCACTGTGACTCACTGCCTCAACACCTGCTCACCTGGTTGTTCAATCTTTTAACCTAAGATTCTGTTCCGAGTCCCAGCACTGATTTCTGTGTACACCTCCAGCTCTGCAGCCACTCTGGCTAATATGTTACTTTTTAAAAAGGGTTACTTTTGCCCCATGAGCCAGCCGTATGGAGCCAATGGCCTTCTGGTTTATTCTTCTGAATCTCAACTAGAAAGGCTCCACGGGATTCAGTCATATTTTCTGGGAAGGGGTAGAAAATTACCAACTTTCTAACCTAGATATAAGAAAACCTGGCAATTAAAACAAATTACTACATTGCAAATCACTTCAAGTTAAATAAGAACATAAGAAGTGGGAGCAGGAGTAGGTAATTCAGCTCGAGTTTGCTCCACCATTTGATATGATCGTGACTGATCCCATCTTGGCCTCGGCTCCACTTTTCTACCTGATCCCCACAACCCTTTAAACCTAATACTAATTAAAAATCTATCTCCTCCTCAAATTTACTCAATGTACCGGTATCCACTGCATTCTGAGGTAATGAATTCCCTAGATTTGGGATCCTTTGAGATAAGTAATTTCTCCTCATCTCTTAAATCTGTTACCCTTTATCCTAAACTATGACCTCTTGTTCTAGATTGCCTGAGAAAACATCCTTTCTACATCTACTTTGTCAATCAGCTTTGTCTTGTATATCTCAATTACCTGACCTCTCATTCTTCTAACTCCAAACAGTACTGCCCTATACCAGGCAATCTCTCTTCAAAAGATAAACCTCTTATCTCTAGAATCAATCAAGTGAATCTCCCTCAACTGCCTCCACTAAAACTAGTCCTCAAGTAAGGTGATGAAAATTGTACATAATACTGCAGGTGCAGTCTCAATAGTGCCAGGTACAGTTGCAACAACACTTCCCTACTTTACACTGTATTCCTTTAGCAATAAATGCCAATAATAGCACTGGATGCAAGGCAGCAACAAACGTCCAAATACTGTTTATAAATTCACTAGCTTAGCAATCCCAAGGCCTAACGACACTATACTCTCTGCCATTAGATTTCTTGTCCACTTAAATGTAACCAAGAGAATATATTAATTCAACTGTTTGTCCAGTACTTTTCCAAGAGACGAGAGTCCCTGTTCTCTAAAGGGGCAGTTCCCTAAAGAGGGGTATTTACAAACTGTAAAGTACTTTCAGCATTTGTGTATTGGTATTTACACTCCACTGCCAATTAATTTTAAGATGGACAAATAGTAACTTTCTGTTGGAGATTACCTTCGTCAGAAAATTGAAAAAAAAACATTTTCACTGCCAAATAGAAAGAAAATAGAGCAAACTAACTACAAATGCTTACAAATTTATCAATTTCTGTGATCAAGGCAACTAGAATCATACATCACCACACCTGCAACTTCAACTTACCAAGAGCACAATGGTTTGGACAAATATATAAAACTAAGAACTATGCTCATTCAAGGTTGGAATCAAATGGAATTCCATTTAAATATATTTTTCAGGAAAGATCCAGAGACTATACCTCAAGGAAAGCAATGACAAATGATACATAAAAAACTAACCAGTTGCGTTATGCTGCCTGACAAAATTAAGTACTGAAAAATTGAGTCCATAATGTTTAAAAGCAAGAATCTCAAACTGTCACCAATACAAGAAACAAACTCAAAACTGAGATTGTTTATTAATGCATTTGCTTGCACTGTTATGAAATTGCTATACTTTATCCCCATTTCTCTTTTCATGTATCTCCCTACCACGCTGTCCCCAGTAATTAAAACGTGGAGGTGCTGGTGTTGGACTGGCGTGGACAAGGTCAGAAATCACAGAACAACAGGTTATAGTCCAACAGGTTTATCTGAACACACAAGCTTTTGGAGTCTTACTCCTTCTTGATGTGTTAGTGAGAAAGGTAGTATCAGACACAGAATTTATAAGTAAAAGATCAAAGGGTCACATCATTGATGAGGATGCACTAAACAAACCTAAGACGCTGTTAAATCTTTAATCAGTAGAAGGTTTTAATTGATTAATAAGCATATGTAAATCCCCAAATTCCCTTCAAATCCCTGTTCTGTGAGAACTAAAGGTTTTATCAGTGTAAAGAAGAGGAGACATTTTAGGTCAGACAATACATGTTAGGTGGGAGGCCTTGTTTAGAATTTGTTTGTATTTTGGCTTGGAGTCAGACTGGCTTTATTTCTAAAGTAGGAATTTATAAAACACCACACTGACTGTCTATAAATTTTGCGCCTTTTGAACAAGATAGAATGTATCTGCTAGAGGTGAAACGTCTAACACTAGGGGGCGTACATTTAAAGTGAGATGGGGAACGTTCAAGGGAGATGTGAGAGGCAAGTTTTTTTTAACACAGACAATGAGAGGAATCTAGAATGCACTGTCAGGGGTGGTGGTGGAAGCAAATATGATAGGAGTGTTTAAGGGACTTTTAGATAAGCACATGATTATGCAAGGAGTAGAAGGAATACAGACTCAGGTCAGGCAGAAGGAATTAGTTTAATTTGGTGTCATGTTCAGCATAACATCATTGGCTGAATAGCCCATTCCTGTGCTGTACTGTTCTATGTTTACTTGATATCTGCTACATTCACCTGGCAGTGACTAGGAAAGACATGAATTTGGCATCTTGTAGCTTCGACGGAGAAACAATTAACTCCAACAGAACAAAGCTCAAGTATCTAATATATTATCACAGATACCCTACAGAGTGGAAACAGGCCATTTGGCCCAACAAGTTCACACCAACTTTCCAAAGAGCATCCCACTCAGATTCACTCCCCTACCCTATCCCAGTAACCCTGCATTTCCCATGGCTAAGCCCCCTTGCCTACATATCCCTGGACACTTCGGGCACTTTACCACGGCCTATCCATTTAACCTGCACATCTTTCGACTGGGAGGAAACTGGAGCATCCGGAGGAAACCCATGTGGACACTAGGAGAACGTGCAAATTCCACACAGACAGTCAAACCTGGGTCCCTGGTGCTATGAGGCAGCAGTGCTAGCCGCCCATCATTTCTGTTCAAGTCCAAAGATGTCATGTTTGTTGTGTAGATAGGAATGCTGATGGTCTGTGCACTTCCACACTTCTCAGTTTTTATTTATTAAGTATTCTACTAATGATTTTCCCGCAACTAAGTGTAATGCTTAAAAATAATTATAACCAAAACAGGATTACATTGTTTGGAAAGAAATCACACAAACTTTATTTTTTCTTCTGTTACTATGCTTCCTTCTTCAGTTAAAACATTGAAGGCTACTAGATCTCTGTAATGTCAGCTGACAATCCCTTAAGATTTCATACTGGACTAGTTAATCTGATCAGTCTCGCTACCCTCCTCCTTTTAGCCAGATGGAACAATGCATTGTTACATTCAAGATTACTTCAACAGCTACCCTTCACTGCAACTGTTACTGCCAAGAAGGAAAACAGAAGCAACATCAGTTGGACTGCAATTCCTTATCACACACCATACTAACTTTGACACAAATTCATCCCTTTTGAATATCATTGGGGCAAATTTCTGTAATTCCCCAACATCTTAGGGACATCATCACAAGGAACATACTACAAAATGACTGGTGAAGATTGCTGAGATAAATGGCATGGCAGCTTATACTATGATATATCTTTATACTACAACATCACAAGATGTCCCAAGTTACCTTACAGCAAGGACAGCAATAAAGCAATTCAGATACCGTGCCAAAAATACCAGTCATAGGTTTCGTCAAAAGAATAGGTTTTGAGAGTGTATTAAATGAAGAGAAAAGATAGATAGGTGGAGAGATTTAAACAGCAAATTCCAAAGCTTAGGGGCTAGCCTCTGAGGTCTACATAACAGAGGAAACAATTAGAGGGAACATTGATTTGCAGTAACGAAAAATGATTTCATTCTTTCAGCAATACTCTTCATTTGAAATTGATGTACTGAGTTTATGAAAATAAACAAAACTCAGCAATGCCATTCTTTAATTGTGGGTACACAGTTGCATTTATTACAGATTCTAAAGGAACCCACCTCACCGTAGATGTGGAAAGTGCAAGTCTCTTCATCCAGTTCGATTGCAGTGACGCCTGGCACTTTCCTAGCTTGCTGGATGTTGGCTCCATGTGTACCGATGGCAAGACCCATGAGATCTTCTCGTACAACAAACTGCTCATGGAAGCGTGACGCAAGCTGTCGAGAGCTCTGCAAAATTAAGACAAGCACAAACAGATGTGATATCAGGAGAGGTACCGTGGTATCTTCCTTATAACATGTAACTTGAAAAACGTTATGGCTAAGCAAACTTCTTTATTACCAATTTTTCAGCAGTCAACAGCAGGAATAAGATCTTGACTTAAACTACTGCAGCTCTAAACTGCAACACAAGTTCATTTCTTTTGTAATGCATTTCTCTCTTCATTGAATAATATTTTTGGGACATCTTATGGTCAGGAAATGTAATGCATGGCTAAGAATTAAGAGAATGAGGTAAAATGTTTATTGCCATCAAGAAGAGGAACGTTGATTCCAAAAAATGTGTTTTCCCGTTCCCAACTCCACCCAACCTTTGCCTGAGCATCAATCCCAGGACAGGTCATTTCTTAACAGGTAAAAAGCATGGCTGTATTTGAGGCAAACATTGGTAATGAACGAATGCAAGTTAGCAGAGAAGCAAAGATTATCAGTAGGGATTAGAGGGATGGATTTCTGAAAAGGTAAAGGAAAATTCAAGTTGAGATAATTTTCATGACAGATGCAGCAATACAATGATAGCTGAAAAGGACCATGTGCAAAGACATCAGGATTGAAACAAATTAAGAATCTCCTGGAAGGAAAAGCAGCAAGGGAAGGAGACAATTTGAAGAAAGATGCCAGAGACATGAAATATTCTAACTGGGGACACGGTTATGGGAATTAGCATGCTATTTTATTAATACTAAATTATTACATTTATGTGATTGATCATTATATCTGCTCACATTTGCTTTAAAATACACAAGAAAAGATTTGGTCAAGTGAATTCTGCCAGATTGTATGATCCATTTATTTTCTCCCCAACATGCTGCTCTTCCTTTTACCCTAATGCACTATCAAGCTTCCCTTTAATGCTATTTCCCTCAACAAGTTCCAAATTCTAATCCTGTAGGTAAAGAGATTTTGATGCTGCAATGTCCATACGGCCACCTGACATCAAGTCCTAGACAAATCAAGAGATGTTGCAAGTTCAATAATTTGAATGTAAATTCAACTTTGGCAGTAAAACACGAGATATCATAGTTGCCTGCTAGATGTCCACACCAATTTTTCATAGGCCAAAAAAGAATGAAGTGTCTTAAGGAAAGGCAGTGAGCAAGGGAATCGAGAGGGAATTCCAATAATTAGGGACTAGGTAGCCAAAGGTATGGCTGCAACCACTGGAGAGATTAAAATTGGGTATGCTCAAGAAGCCAGAATAAAACTGTAGACATCTAAGAGGATTGTGGTGTTGCTAGAGGGTATGGTAGAGATAGAGAGGTGCAAAGCCATGGATGGATTTGAAAATAAGGATGAGAATGTCAAATGTTGCTCAACTTGAGGTCAGTGTAATTCAGCAAGCACATAGGTGATAGGTGATTCTAAGATAAGATACAGGCTGCAGTTTTGAACAATCTTAAGTTAACAGAAAGTACAACGTGGGAGATCAATCAGGAAAGCATTGGACTAGTCAAGTCTAGAGGTAACATAGGCATGATTAAGGATTTCAGGACTAAATGAGCTGAGACAGGATTAAGGCTGCAGTCTGGAAATAGAACAGTCTTATTAAAACACGAATCTGTGTTTGGAAGCACATCTTGGAGTTAAATATGACACGGCTTCAAACAGTACTTTCAGACTGCTGCCAGGAACAGGCATGGAGTTGGTATTTAGGGAACAGAGTTTGCAGTAGGAATACAAACATTGGCTCCAGTCATTCCAACATTTACTTGTAGAAAATCTCTGCTCTTCCCACACAATGTCATTTAAGTACTTTTATAATTTAGCAACAGTAGAGATGTTGAAAGTAGTAGTAGTTAGGTAGAGCTGCATGTTGTCAGTCTACATGTGAAAACTAATACTTTGTCTTCAGAAGATGTCACTGATGTACAACGCATGGGTAAGAAATAGGGACCACCTTCAGAGACATCTGAGGTGTATAAAAAAATAACGCTATAAAATCAACAGGAAAGCAAGATCATGAGTGTAACTGGAAATTTAATTGTGGACTTGAAATCTAGACTTTTGTTTAGGCTAAAGAGTGTGGATAGAGTCTCTGAATTTACAACGGGTCCATGCATCACTGATTTGGATAGGGAACTTCTTTCTTGCGTTATTGCTTTTTCCCATGCTCAGTGTTAGTTAGAAACATACATACAATAGTGTCTCTCTATGCTGTAATACTTTGGACTTTCATTTTATACAGTAAATAAAGATTTAACCTGGCAATCCGTTCTAAGAGTTGCCAATAGATTTCCGAGCATATTACATCAGAAAAATATGATAAACAAGGAATAGCTGAGTGCACTGGATGCTGCAAATGTTACATGCCATAAAAACATCACAGTACTGAAGACACATAATCCCAGAAATGCAATAACACTTAGACCAATCATACAGGTTGGAAAACTGCCCAGCTACATCCTGTCAAGAAGAAGAAAAATAAATCCAAGGCCTATTATTAACCCATCAACCTACACTCAGAGTTCTATAAAGTAACAGTTACCAATAACCTGCTCAACAATGTAGTTTGGGTTCTGCCAAGTCCAGATGACTTCAGACCTCACTACAGGCTTTGTCCAAAAATGGGCACAGAGTTGAATTCAAGAGGTGAAGTAAGAGTGACTACTCTTGACATTTAGCGCTGCAACTGTGGCATCAAGGAGTCCTAGTAAGATTGAAATCAATGTGAATCAAGTGGGAAAACTGTCCACTTGTTGAAGTCACACCTAGCAAAGGAAGACGGTTGTGATTGTAGGATGCCAATATCTCAACTGCAGAATTTCCTCAAAGAGTTGTCCTCGACCCAAACATATTCAGTTGCTTCATCAACAAACTTCCCTTCTTAAGGTCAGAAGAAGCAATATTCACTGTTAATCGCTGAGTTCAATACCATTCATATCTCCACGGACAGTAAATAAGTCTGTAACCACATGCTGCAAAAATCTGGACAACATTCAAGCCCGGATTACTAAATGGTAAATAGCAGATATGCCAGCCAATGATCATGTCCAACAAGAGAGTCTAACTGCCTAACTTTGACATTTAATTGCATCATCATCACTCAGTCTCCATTGTCAATATCTGGGGGGTTAGTGTTGACCAGAAATTTAAATGAAACAACCATATATTTATGTATATTGTGGTCACACGTTGTAAATTCGGCAGTGAGCAACTCACCTTCTGATTCCCCAAATCATTTCCACTATCTATGAAGCAGAAGTCAGGAGCATGAGGAATACTCTCCATCTGCTTCGGTGAGTGAAGCTCCAACGTTCAAGAAGCTTAACATCCAAACTAAGTAGCCTGAACATTTGGCATCACATCAACCTGCATAAACATTCATTCCTTCCATCACGAGCACACTGTGACTGCATTATGTATCATTTACAAGATGAGTTTTGCCAACTCACCAAGGCTTCTATAATAGCATCTCCCAAATTTGTGACCTCAACTGCAAATAGGAACAAAACAACCTGGCTGTAAATATACTGCTGTTCCTTAATCATAGCTAGGTCAAAAGACTTGAACTCAACACCTAAAGGCACTGTAGTTTATGTCCAGGTTGCTGATCAATTACAAATTGAGAAGGTAACTTTTCGGTTAAACGTTTTGGACTTAAATAGATTAATTTTAAAATCTTAGCAGATTTTCCAGGCCTTATTTCAAGTACTATATTAGGGATGTAATCAATAATCTATGATGGAAAGTAGGGTGTGATTATTACAAATAAAGTTGAGGACTACACTTGGATTGTTTCATATACTGCATAGATTTGAATGTGTGGGTTTCGAGAAACTACATTTCACTTCAGTTTTCTTTGGCTAAGAATTAAATAAACAAAAGCCCACAACACATGTTTTATTCTATAATGTTTAGGATCAGTGGTTTCAAATCTATTATCTAGGTAAATCAGAGCTCCAAAGCAGTCTTTTTTGTGCTCTGTTGATATATATATATTGGGATATGATTCCTTGTATATATTTTTTGATCTCAGTTAAGGTGGCAGTGGGATTACACTTCCAAAGATTCTTAGTGGAAACCAGACAAGTATGCAATCTGGCTCAGCTATGACACTCCCATGATCAAACAAAACACACAGAAACTGACCAAAGGAGCAGAAGCAGGATATTCAAACTCTTCAGTTTACTCTGTCCTTTAAAAGCTTATGGCTGGTCTGATGCTAACCTCAAATCCACATTCCTGCCTACTTGATAATCTTTTGGCCCTTCCCTTATGAAGGCTCTATCCACCTCTGCCTTAAAAATATTCAAAGATTCTGCTTTCACTGCTTTTTAAAGAAGAGAGTTCCACAGACTCATGAAGCTCAAGAGAAAAAAAATCACCCCATCTGTTTTAAATGTGTGATCATTTTTTTAAAAAGTGATCTCTAGTTCTAGATTTGCCCACAGAAGTAAACATCCTCTTCACACCTATCCTGTCATGCTCCTAGGATCTTATGACCATTGCTAAAACTCACAGACAAAAAGTAATGCCATTTTGGCGAAGCACTGCAGACTTTTGAGACTACATCCATGAGAACTGAGGGAAAGGCTGGCAGACGCAAAAGTTGCTGTACCTTAAAATTTAGGAATAGATTCTTCAGTAATACATGCCTAAATATGAAGAAAAGCACTAATATTTCACAGCAAATAAGCATTCTGAGTAACAGTGCAAGAAACCAACCTAATATTTTATTTAATTAAAAAAATGTTCACCAAGTATGAACTTCATACTTGGTGTACATAATTGCAGAGAATAATGCCCTTGACAGAAGCTTCATGACCATTAGAATAGTTTTCAACTCTGACGTTACTATTACAAGTGCTATGAGTTAAGAGTACTGATTTCCATCCATTACTGCAAAAAGGCATAAGGGCACAATTATAGATTGCAATGGGCTGTCAGTGAAATAATTTATAATGCAATTAAAACTTCATCTAGCTAGTCATTGTACCTCAGCTTTAGGT